GTGGGAGAACTTGCACAATTGGTGGCTGACTAAATACTTTTTTGCCCCACTGTATAACTCCCTAGGTCTGCTTTGGGTCAGTGACTTTCCTGAAATACTTGAATGCATTTCTTTGAAACCAAGTAGTATCCATGGATGTTGAGATTTACTGGATACTCATCATCTATTTTTACACTGTATTCAGAGGAAGTAATTTTAAAAATCTAGACATACTGCTGGCCCTTTCCATGTGAATTTATGCCAACTCTGGAATTAATGGTTTTTAGTGTTCATTTCCATCCAGAGTATACTGCTGTCTCCAGTTTGAGAATGCCATAGAATGTTCATTCTTTATGACAGATTATTTAAATTACTGACATTTACAGGAAAACATTCCTCTTTTTTCTCCTAGATGAATGATTTAGTGGTAATACTAATATGTGGAAAGGAAATCAAGATTCCCTTCCAGACCAAAATTAGAGGCATGAAATAACTCTAGCTGTCCTGGAGTAGTAGAGAAAATCTCTTGTCCTCTTTAAGCAAAAAACTGTGCATGCAGATTTGGGACCTGAATGCAAGTAGTTGGCCCAAGATAGGCCTGTTGTCATCTGTCAGGAGGATTAAGGGCTGTTGTGTTACTATCCCAGGTAAATGTATTTCATTTGTCCAAATATCCTTTTGTGTAGATCCAAAGCTGCGCAAGGGTGATTAAATGGCTGAACTCATTTTTCAAAGGGTGAACATGCTATTATCATACATAGCAATTTCAGATGTAGGTTTGAAAGACGCCATAGTCTAGCCATGGAAACACTCCAAACTGCAAAGCCCAGAAGGGCTTATACAATTTTGAGGATATTTCCAAATATTAATGCAAATATCAAGTGCTGGAATACAAAGCAGGGAAACCACAGGTTCTTCAAGAACTATCCCCTTCTAAGCATTACAGTATAGAGGCACAGCTGTGTTTTAAGTTCAAGGTTTCACATGGGTCTTATGTAATGATTAGAGGGTTTCATGAAGGTAGAACAGGAGGAGAGGTGAGTATAGCCACAAAATTGGGTTTGTCAAAAATGGAAGCTTTTTTTTTTTAATCCCATCCTTTTTTTTTTAAGTATCAGACCTGTAAGATCTTGCTCAGGAAAAAG